TCCAGTTTTAACACGTCATCTTCCAACAGGGATCTGATGAAGTGGTACCGAAGCGCAATATGCTTCGTTCTAGAATGAAATGCAGAATTCTTCGCCAAGTGTATCGCACTCTGAATGTTGAATTCTTCGCCAAGTGTATCGCACTCTGGCTATCACTGTGCAAAACATTCTTCTCCTGTTTGAATCACAGCTCTGTTAACAAACCCTGAAGCCATATCATCTCTTTACTGGCTTCAGTCACTGCAACGTACTCAGCTTCTGTAGTGGATAGGGTAACAATCTTCTGTACCCGTGACATCCAACTAACAGCTGTAGTTCTGACGGTGAATACATAGCCGGTGGTGCTTCTTCGGTGATCAACTTCACCGCTCTGTGTGGTGCCTCGTAGATATCTCAGAATCCACTTGACCGCTTCCCAATGAGCTTTTCCTGGATTCGACATAAACCGGCTGACCACTCCCACTGCATGGCCAATGTCTGATCTCTTACAGACCATTGCGTACATCAAACTTCTGATAGCTGAGGCGTAAGGAACCTGAGCCATACTCTCTTTCTCTTCTTCTGACTGAGGAGACTGATCCTTCGATAGACGAAAGTGGCTGGCCAAGGGTGTGCTCACAGGCTTGGCATCGCCCATGTTGAATCTCTGCAAAACACGGTGTGTGCTCACAGGCTTGGCGTTGCCCATGTTAAATCTCTGCAAAACACGGTTGATGTACTCCGTCTGAGATAACTGCAAGAGACCTCTCTTCTTATCTCTCGTAATTTGCATTCTAAGGATCTTCTTCGCTGGACCCAAGTCCTTTATGTCAAACTCCTTTGACAGCTGCTGCTTCAAACTCTTGATATCTTTCATATCTTCTCCTGCAACCAACATATCATCAACATACAGCAGTAGGATGATATAACTGGACTGATATCTTTTGAAGTAGCAACAGTGGTCGGCGTTGCACTTCTGGAAACCTTCCTTGTGCATAAAGCCGTCAAACTTTCTGTACCACTGTCTTGGGGCTTGTTTCAGGCCATACAAGCTCTTCTTGAGTCTGCACACCAGGTTCTTTTTCTTCTTTTCTTCTGAGAAACCTTCTGGCTGGTGCATGTATATCTCCTCTTCTAGATCTCCGTGAAGAAACGCCGTCTTCACGTCTAACTGCTCGAGATGAAGATCTTCAATTGCTACAATACTCATCACGGTCCTGATAGTATTTAGTTTCATCACGGAAGCGAAAATATCGGTGTAGTCAATTCCTTCCTTCTGCTGGAAACCTTTGATAACTAGCCGGGTTTTATATCTTCTGGAACCATCCTGCTCCTCTTTCACCCGGTACACTCATTTGTTGTGGAGTGCCTTCTTACCCGTGGGCAACTCAGCTAGTTCCCACGTTTGGTTTGAGATGAGGGACTTCATCTCATCTTTCATGGCAAGCTCCCACTTGCTCGCATCTCCACACTGACAAGCTTCATCAAAGCTTTCAGGCTCCCCACCATCTGTCAACAACAGATAGTTCATGTATCTCCTGTTGGGTACAGGAGGACGAGAAGATCTTCTTAATATCGGAGCTGGTGCGTCGGGCTCCTGCGCACCATCTTGTCCAACAGGCTCTTCTGGCTGAGGACCCTCTGCATTGGGTTCTTCCGAGAGGTTACTCGGGACATCATCTGCATCTACAAATATTGACTCGCTCTCTGAGTCATCAGTCTTGTGCATGTCCTTGTACATCACCTTCTCGTTGAATATCACATCTCTGCTCCTGATCACCTTCTTGTTTTCGTTGTCCCAAATGCGGTAGCCGAACTCATCTTCACCATAGCCGATGAAAGTGCATTTCTTTGACTTGGGATCAAGCTTATTCCTGCCTTGATCACTAATATGCACGTAAGCTACACAACCGAAAACTTTAAGATGTGAGAGTTTTACCTCCTTTCCGCACCATACCTCCTCTGGTATTCTGTGCTCCAATGGAGCCGATGGACCTTGGTTGATCAAGTAAGCTGTTGTGTTGACCGCTTCTGCCCAGAACTGCTTCGGTAGGCCTGACTGTACTCGAATGCTTCTGGCTCTCTCTGTCAACGTTCGGTTCATCCGCTCAGCTACACCATTTTGCTGAGGCGTGCCGGACACGGTTCTCTCCATTCTGATCCCGTGCTCATAGCAGAACTTCTTGAATCCGGTGTCTTCATACTCACCGCTATTGTCGGTCCTGAGCTTCTTTATTCTCAGACCGGTCTCATTCTCGACCATAGCTTTCCATCTTCTGAAAGCCTCAAATACTTCTGACTTATGCTTCAGAAAGTAGACTCACACTTTCCGAGAGTGATCATCGATAAAAGTCACGAAGTAGTATTTTTCACCAAAGTACGCGGTGGTTGTTGGTCCCCACACATCTGAGTGAACGAGCTCTAACTTCTCTTTCCTGGGGGTTCTGCCACTTGTCTGAAAGCTGACTCTCTTCTGCTTTCCAAGTATACATTCTTCGCACATATCCATCTCCACTGACTGCGGTCCTGGGAGTTTTCCCTTTGTGTGCATGCTTTTTATCCCCTTTTCACTCATATGACTGAGTCTCTGGTGCCACAGCTTTGAAGTCTCATTGCCTGCTGCAACTGAGATCGAACAACGTGCACCTGCTGTCATATATAGGGTACCAGTCTTCCTGCCTCGGGCAATCGTCATTGCGCCCTTTGAGATCTTCCAATCATCTTCATGGAAGGTCGTGGTATATCCTTCGCCAGCCAACTGGCCTACGGATATTAAATTCTTTCTCAGGTCGGGAATATGCCTGACATCCTTCAGCTCCCATACTGACCCGTTCAACTTAATTTTTACCACGCCTTTGCCCACAATAGCACATGGTTGATCATCACCAAGATATACGTATCCAAGATTTTCGGGAGTATACTTCTCGAAGAATTCTTTCTGAGAGGTAGCATGGAACGACGCTCCTGAATCCAACACCCAAGATTCCTCCTTGCTCTCCAAAAAGCATATCAATGCGTCGTCTCCTCCTGAAGTGGAGGTGACATTCACCTCTGCCTTCGCCTCCTTCTCCTTCTGTGCACTCTTGCACTGATTCTTGTAATGCCCGGTCTTTCCACAATTCCAACACTCGATAGCCTTCGAGCTGTTGCTTGGATTCCTTGATTTGGACCTCCTGTCCTTTGATCTACCTCTGAAGTTTGATTTTCCTCGTCCGTTTCCTCTGGTTGAATTTCTACCTCTTGACTCTGTATGTAATATTGAAGAGGTTGTGGCTTCACCCGTTTCTCTCCGTCGGATCTCCTCACTGAGAACCAAATCACGAACGTCGTCGAACTTCAACTTATTGTTTCCCGACGAGCTACTCACAGCTGTGACTATAGCGTTCCAACTCTCTGGTAGGGAAGACAAAAGTATCAACGCCCGAACTTCCTCATCAAACTCAATCTCAACTGAACTCAATTGGGTTGTAACCGTATTAAGTTCATTGAGGTGTTGTGCTACTGACGCGCCTTCCGTCATTTTCAGATTGAATAACCGCCGCATCAAATGAACTTTGTTCGTGGCTGATGGCTTCTCATACATATTTGAGAGAGCTGCCATAAGACCCGTCGTGGTCTTCTCCTTCGCTATGTTGAACGCAACATTGCGAGTCAACGTCAATCTGATAACTCCGAGGGCTTATCTATCTAGAAGGTTCCACTCATCTACCTTCATAGAATCTGGCTTCTTCCCCGATAGTGGTTGATACAGATTTTTCTGATACAGATAATCCTCTAGTTGATACAGATTTTTCTGATACAGATAATCCTCTATCTGTATTTTCTAGAATCCGAAATCTGTTCCATCAAATTTCTCAAGTCTTATTTTTCCTTCATCTGCGGTCATGGCTCCCACTTGAATCTGACATTCTGTAGATCGTTTCACGCTCTGATACCAATTGTTGGGAATTTAACGCTGAAATCCCTAATGTAATAAAAACGCAGAATAGAAAAAGTACACCAAGTTTTAACGAGGTTCGGCAACTGCCTACGTCCTCGGGAGCCACACAGATAATTTCTTATTAATCAAACAAGAAATTACAAATCAAGAGCAAATCCCAAAACTGGGATTTCTCAAATAAACACTGTAGCTACAGTGTTTATAATTAAAGGGTATGAACCCTTTTCAAGTCTCACTTGAGAATAAATGAAGTCCACAATAAATTCCCTCTTTAATTTCTCTCTCTCTCTTCTTAAATCTCCTCTCAAACTTTCTGTTGAAAACTGAGATTAAAAAAGGGGGAAAAAATCGTTGCTGCGATTTTTGGGGCAGACCGCCGCCGCTAGAGAGAAAAAATAGGAGAAGGGGGAAAGCTTCAGCGGCAAAAAACCCTAGGGCCAAAGAAGGGGGTTTTATAGGCGAGGCGACAGCCTGTCGCCAGCGGCCCGCGGACGCAAAGGTCGGCACCCAAACGCAAGGGTCGGGATCGCTGTGACGCAGAGTTCGAACCGCCAAAACGCCATGGTCGGCACACCCAAACGCAAGGGTCGGGGGAGGCGCTCGTACGCAGAGTTCGTGCTCGCCTGTGCTGCCGAAGATCGCCTGGATCTCGCCTGTGGCTTTGCCTGCGTCGACATCGAGCTCGTCGGAGCTCCTCGCCGGCAGAGGTTGGTATCCAACCCCCAAATTAACAATCTCCCACTTGGAGACCAAACCGACGACAACATGCTATCTCATCAAGCTCCTCTCCTGTGTGGCTCCGCCCTCATCATCTTATGCATGAAGGCCAACTGAAGTTGCGCACAACTCCAGTTTCTAAACGGTCACCGTCTTTGTTAACATGTCTGTTGGATTCTTACTTTCTGGAATCTTTTTCAGTTTTAACACGTCATCTTTCAACATGGATCTGATGAAGTGGTACCGAAGCGCAATATGCTTCGTTCTAGAATGAAATGCGGAATTCTTCGGTGGTTGGTATCCAACCCCCAAATTAACAGAATCCTCTTCATTGTGCAGGATTAATAGTTCTTGCTATAAAAAGTCAAGAAGAAAATAAAATTTTCACTTGCTCAAAGACATACAAAGTACAACCAAAAAACAGACTTCACTTCCTTTTTGATAACAAAATTTATATATTTATGTTCACCTTGCATAAGGGTGCAACATCAAGTATATTGTTCAATCATTCTTTCTTTATGCATCAATTAGATGTTGCAGAAGTAATCAAACTTGAGCTTAGGCTTGGTATAGTCCGTAGAGAGTATCTTAGAAGCAAGTATAGAGTTTGCCGCCTCGGTGTAATGAACTCCATCCCAGTTTATGAACTGAAGTCCTTGTTGACAGGCTTGTGAGCTTGGGTTGCCACATGTTATATTGATATTGTAGTTGTATGGAGGTCCACCATAGCCACAACATGCCATTATTGGGCTCTTGAAGCCTGAAGAAATCACAATTTTTCATGAAATTTTGTATTTTATCTCAAGGGAGATTAGTACAGGACACAATAATATGTAAGAAAAGTATTCTTTTTGTATAAATGGAAGTAAAGGCTATAATCTGAAAAAATATACTATGATCTAAGGTCACAGATTCAGTTTGGTCATTCAGTTGGGTAATCCGGAAATTTGTCAAACACGTTAAAGAAAAAAGATGAGAATATATAAAAATAGCATATACTGGTTAAAAAAACAGTAGGCAATGTGAACCTATTTTAAGCATAGGACATCTAGAAATAGCCCCATTACAGCTTAAGCACATACGTGAGAGTCTAAAGTGAACAGAGGTCTAGCAAATTTTTAACCAAAAAACTACTGAGGAGTGACAAATTGAACTTTACTACAGAAAATGCCACTGTGGAGCCAAAAACATTCAGGTAAAATCCTTAAAATCTGATAACTTCAGTGTTCACTTCAATTTAATATCACTCATTTATCACTGTTTCAAACATTTTGAGTCCTAAAAGATCCTAATACTTCTAACCAACATAAAAACAAATATAGTAATCAATAAGTAAAGGTTTCTGGCTTACCGTAGTTGGTATGATTAGCTATGAGATCATATTTGATGGTGTATATATCTGTATAAGCAATGGTAGCATTCTTCAATTCAGAACTCAATTCGTCACAGAGAGCACTCAACCCCTCATTGAATTTCCTAGCAGCATCATTGAAGGAACCGAGGCATCCGTTTGGGTCAAGATTGTTGCTTCTTTTTCTTGGCACAGAGAGTTTTTGAGGTAAGCAACCCAAGGGACCAGTGTTATGTACCCAAAAATTTCTGCCACCCGTATTATACACAACCTGACATTAAGAAGAATAGATACAGAATAAATATGTCAATAAGCATAGTATAATGAATTTGAGAATGTTCTTTTCTTAAGAAAACATGGATCAATATGGATTGTTTTCTTTTAATTGATAAATACAAGGATATGAATGTAGTTTGGATGTTAAAATCTCAACACACATATGGATTCAGATTGAGATGGAACAGAACATACAAATAAACAAGGTGCTGTTGAGTATAATAATGGTTATAAACAAAATTGCATTCTATTCTACTTTTAATTTTGTTTTGACCTTACTCTAAAAGTATAAAATCAAATTAGTAATTGACATTAATATATATATGATAGAACATATGTTTAATATTTTTTTAGATGCTTATTGAGTCAAATACTTTGGATAATGCAGTACTATTTATAACTAGTTTTGCTCCATGAAAAAAACCTAGCAAACAGCTTATAATGCCACACTCTTGGAGTAAAAATCTACTAAATACACCTCTACAACACATAAAAGATGATGACATTATGATCAACAAGCAACAAAATTACCTCAATAGCAGTTTTGATCTCAGAGAGAACGTTTGGGATGACCCCCACAACTCTCTCATAGCTCAAACCTTTAGCAAAAGCCTCTGCAAGATCATTCTGCCCAATATCTACCACGTATAATGCTTTCCTAAACTTCTCCTCATTGAACAAATTCCTCGTACCTATTAAAACCAACATCAAACTCATAAGCACCAAAACTTTAAAAAGAACACAATATGCACAAATTAAAGTAGTACCTTGAGCAGCAACAAGATGTTGAGTCTGATATCGAAATCGAAGAAACTGGAGCACTTGGATGTGAAGAGAGAAGGGCCTGTCTCTTGGCAATGTAGTTGAACCAGCAACAGCAAAATTTGCACCATTTCTGAATTCAGTGTTGCCTAAAGAGTCCAAGTATGGGCTTAGATAGCTCGTGTTCAAACTTTCACCTGCACATTCATCGTCAATCTTCATTAACATTCTTCAAAATTATTTCATTTCCAAATATACACAAAAATTTTATTTTTATATAATCCTCGAAAAAGACTGTATTTTGATATACCCAAAAGGTCTTGGCCTTATTTTCAAAGATGGGTCTATGAGAAAATCTGGAGACAAAAGTTTTTTCTTTTTTAACTACAACATTTACACAAATAGTTTTTGCCCCAATAGAGATTTGTTGCTCTGATATAATCCTTACAAAGCTGCATCATGACATAGCCAATGAAGTTTTTTTTTTTTTTTGTATTAAAGCTTCATACACAAATGCTGGTCTTATCTCAAAAGATGGGTTAAATGAGAAAAATCTGGAGAAAAATAAAATAAAAAATTAATAATAAAAATAAGGAAATAAAAACTGTCTTTTACCAAATAAAGATTTTTATTTATTGTGACGTATAGTAGCTAGCATTTGTAGTTTTGGTATATCCAGCAAAAATATATCATCTACAAAGTTTTTCGGGCTCGTTCAAAAACGAATTCATGCAAAAAAAAATAATAAAATAAAAAACTTAAATTTTTTTAAAAAAGATAAAATAAAAACCGAGGGGAATTTAATGAGTACGGACAGAGGAAGTCGAGGATGAGGCGGCCGTCGGAGTCCAAGGCCGGCGATGAGGCCGCCGGTGTCTGAGTTAGAGTCACCGAAGGTGAAGATAACGGCGTCGTCACCGCATTTCGATCGGGCTCGATTAGCTACAGCAGCCAGGAGCAGCAAGAGAAAAATCGCGATTGCTTGATTCATGTTATCGAACTTTCTCTCTCCCCTCTCGATTTGTTTGTTTTTGTTTGCTTTCTCTCTCTGGAGTTTGAAGCAGAGAACGCGTGAGACTGTTGGGTGTGGTGTCTTGCTTGTTATGATGTGTAATAATTTATTATCTCGCTCGGATCCATATCCATAACTCATCACTGTGTCTATTTTTGTAGAAGAGCTTTGCTACAGGCTTAATGTGATGATCAGCTCATTATGCAATAGTAGGGGTCACCTCACCTTAGTCTCATATTTTGGGTCCTTGGAATTTTCCTTTGTAGAAATTCTCATGCAGTGATGCATGAGTTCTCTATGCGCTCATCTTACCTCAACTAACGAGTTGCATCTAATGTTGCAATAGCAAAAAGTTGCATGTAACATTTGTCGTAGGAAATTAACAATTTTTTTGACAAATGAAAAAGACAGAAAACACTAGTTCTTTTAATTATGTCCCCTTTTGCTGAATGACTACACTGGAAATAAATCATTTCTTACTTGGTTTACGAGATAACTAGCTCAAACAGAATCTAGTCTACAAATTGGCAAAACTAGGTTTAAGTTAAAACTAGCTCAATATCCTCTAGTTTAGGGGGCGTTTGGTTCAATTTCTACAAATTATAGAAAAGGTTTTCCATCCAAAATATGATTTTCTTGTATTTCTTAAAAAAAAAATTTATAGGAAAAGTTTTTGAGAAATACTTAAAAAGTATCAATTTTTTTTATTTTTTATTTACTTTACTTGTTTGGTTCAAAACAAGAAAATGATCCATAACTTTATAGAAAATAGCAAAATTTCATATAACTTATAAAAATTGAACCAAACACCCCCTAAATTTATAGAAAAGTGTCAACTTTTTAGAAAAATGTCAATGTGGTGTCAGATTTCTGGGTGATTTCCGCCCATTTTGAGAGAAATTTGATTTCTGTAAATTTTGGTACTTTTTTGTACTTTACAGAAAACATTTCTGTAAATTTTTTTGAACCAAACACAATTTACGAAAATCTACAAAAAATTTTAATTACAAAATTACCATTGTCAGACATTTTGAGAAAACTTTTCTATAAATTTGTGCAACCAAACAGCCCCTTAGCGTAAACTAGACCAAGTGGAGCTAGTTTAAAACTTGCCTAGATCATTTTCAAGCTTGCCAAAGGCGGCCTAAATTTATTGTTTGAATTATTTTACAATTTTATTGTAGAAAAAAATATACTTTCAATGCAAATTTAGCTTTTCTATTGAAAGTAAATGGTGAAAAAGTTACATGGTGTTCCCGAGATGAATTAGAAGACTGTTATTAAATGTACCGACATCAATTTTTTATTTTGATTTCCTTTTGTGTGAAGCTTTAATTTTTGTTCTCATCAAATTAAATGTACTTACCTCTCCAATTACAGTATAGCAAACAAAACATGAGAAATACAAATCAAGTTGCAATATATAACTTTGCAATATATTTCCTGTCAGTATTAGTGTATATATATGACGAGTACATATGCAATGGCAATCTCTATGTTTTTTTTGTCAAAGAGCGTATTTGCTCGTTTTTCCAAAACTAAAGCAAATTATTTTATTGTGATGATGAGGTTATTGATTAATACATTGAAATAGGAGTCTATATGTTAAAGAGGAATAGTTCCTTTTGGACCAAAATTATGGAACCATTTTGTGGCACAGATGAGGTGGCATTTCCAAGCTGGCAATGTATAGAATTAAATGGGGATGGTTTTGGTAACAAATATAGAAAATTAAAAAAAGAAATAACCGTGGGTCGAAATACAAACTTCCCACCTTCTCTGCTTCCACCCATCACTTCTTCATTAGTTGTCACCAACATCTCACGTGCATGTGCTTGTCTCATCAATTCAGCTGCCTATTTATAATCGATTGACCCATTGAAGAATTCCAAGTAGTTTTTTTTCCCTCTCTTTAATTTGAGTCCTAGTAAGTTCACGCAATAATATAAGTATAATTAATATTCATTTCCTTTCACCAACTTTGTTTTTTTCTTTAGACTTTACTAGTGTGATGCCCGTGCAAAGCAAGACTCTCCCTCTAAGTTTTAATACATTTGATTTAATTGTTGTATACTTAAAATTAGATTTATATCTACTCTTTTATACTTAACGAAGGATCCAAAGTTTGAATACATTTGATTTATAAATCATATATACTCATTTTTACTTTAAAAAGGATCCAAGTTTTAATATATTTGATTTAGAAATCATATTTACTTCTCTATACTTAAAGAAAGATCCAAATTTTAATACATTTGATTTGCTTTATTGTATATGATATAGTAAAATATTGTAGAATAAATTGTAACTCGAAGTATGGAGGGGCAAACTCGATTTATTGTTTATGCTACAGTGAATTACGAGTAGAGAGGATCAAATTGGTTTATTGTTCGTGTTACAGTTTTTACTGTATTATTACTGTAGCATGACAAATAACTCTTTAGATTCTCGGTGTATATAGGAGAGCAGACGTGGAGTTGTCGGCAGCGAGCTTAGCTGATTGTGATTTTGAGGGAAGTTGGCCCTTGATGTTGATACATTACACGGAATAAAAAATATGTCGCCAAAATACTCTCTATTCATTTTCTGTAATTTCTAACTCATTTATGACTCACATATTCAGCTCGTTAATCTTTTTCCAGCTAGACTTGCTTGGCTCACAGATAAGGGTACTAAACCGTATCTGTATCCGAGAAAATATCCGTGACCGTATCCATTAGGATACGAATATGGTTACTCAAATCTATAACCGATAGAATATGGTTATAGATATGGTTTTGGAGTGAAATATCCGTATTTGTATTCGAAATATCTGAATACATATTAGTCATACTCTTACGTTAGTTTCGATTATTAGATTATGGATTTGTGGTTAATTTTGAAAATCAAGATGTCTAATCTTAGCTTTTCAATCATAATGAACATATTAACAAACTCTTCTGTATCACATGTAGGCCTGTCCATCCGGGCTGGCCCGGCCCGGAAATCCGGGCCCGGGTCGGGCAAAACCGGAGCCCGGACCAGGGTACCCCGGGCCGGGTCAGGGCCCGGGCCCGACCGGGCCGGGTTCCGGGCTGGCCCAGATTTTTTCCAATTTTTTTTATTTTTTTATCAAATTTTTTAATTTTTATTTAAATTTTAAATTATACAAAAAAAGAACAAGAAAAATAATAAAAACAATAATTTTATTAATCACTTAAAATGACATAAATTACAAATAAAAAATTATAAAAATAAATTCTTTATTAATAATTAATAAATTATTTACAAATTACAAGTATAAATTTATTTTGGAATTCATCGCATCACAATAGATAAGTACATCCCAATTAGGTTGGCACCTACTCACCTATATCACTATTATTTGCAACTATTTCCAAAATAATTATTTACAAATTTTAAGCTAAGATATATAAATTACAATTTGATGAATATTATTTATTCTTTATATCTATCTGCTAGTCCTAATTCTTCAAATTTATCTTCAATTCCAGCCATCCGATCGATGCTTTGCGTTCGCTTCTCGTACCTCCACCAATCTTGTAAGCACATCACCGCTTGTACAGTATACGGATCTAAGCATGTCCTGTGGTCGTCGATCAAACGTCCTGCTGTGCTGAAGACGGATTCCGAAGCTACCGTCGAAACCTGCACTGTTAGTAAGTCACGAACCATGATGGAAAATATAGGATATGAAACTGGTCCATATATTTTTCACCATTGCAAAATATCTAAAGTATTTTCTTGACATTTAACTAAAGAAGCAGATAAATATTCATCTATTTCAGAAACCTCCAATGATGACGATCCAAGTCCAGATCCACCAGTTAGCTCAGCTACAATTGCATACATATGGTCAACATCTTTTGGAATTAGTCTGGGCTTTACATTTTTTCTTTTACAAAATTATTTTCATCTTTTAAGTCTTTGTTCAGAATCATTATGCATATAAGCAACTGTTCTAACCTTTTCTATCATGGGTTTAATTTTAGTAAATGCACTTTGAACAATTAAATTTAAAATATGACAGATACACTTAATATGAAAAAGATCACCATGACATGGCAATGACAGAGTTGATCTGATAAAATCAACAGCTACATTGTTATTACTTGTATTATCTAGTGAAAGAGAAAATATTTTTTCTGAAATTTTTAATTTCATAAGTTCTTCAATTATTAAATTTACAACATTAATTCCAGTATGTGACTCTTCTATTGTAATAAAAGAAACAACTCTTTTAAACATTTGTCATTTTTTATCAATCCAGTGTGCTGTGATATATAAATATCCAGTTTGTGCTCTAGATGTCCAAATATCAGAAGTTAAAGAAAATTTACAGTTTAAATTTTTAAAATAAGAAATTATTTTTCCTTGTTCCTCCTGATAATATTTTAAAATATCACATTGACAGGTTTGACGAGAAATTTTTTTAAATGCAGGATAAAAACCATCTCTAAGCATATCTTCAAATTCATCATCTTCTACTAATTTAAACGGAAGGTTTTAAGAATGATAACCCTGATTACGTATTTTCTGGCTCTGGCAGCGTCATAGTTCCAACTACCGAGACAACCAGAAAAGAAGGATTGAGAAATCATAGATTGTCGGATATCACCTTAAGGAGTCTGGCCTTTGTTGTGTTTATCTAAATGGCGTTTGAGGTGGTTGGTGCCGCTCTTATGATGAGCTTGAAAAATCTTGCCGCACAATGCACACTTAGCCTTCTGGGTGAGGATCCTACCGTGTTTATCATTGGTGACGTCGATCTTCTCGTAAAAATTCCACACATCGGATCTTGGGCTTTTAGGAGCTCTTGGTGCAGATTCGTCGTCACCGGATTCGGGATTAACATCGGTAAGAGTAGACACAGTAGGAGGACTCATTTCAAGATCGAGAGATAGGTTTTGCTCTTCATAATCAGATCCGGAAGCCATTTGATGAAAGGATTAGAAAGTATAAGAGAGTATAAGATTGTATAAGAGAATATAAGAGTATAAGAGAGTATAAGAGTATAAGAGAGAAGTAGATGAGTTTTGGTATGAAGAAAACAAATAAAAACCCCCCTCTATTTATAGGGCCAACCCCCTAAACAAATGATCAAAATAACCT